TAAAAGAAGATGCTAGGCTGAATCTACTAGCTCACAGGAAAAAATAAGCCTACCGATTCACATTGAATTTGGGCCGATCTGACGATCATAGATGTCTGATAGTTTTTGAATTTTAATTTTTTTTCTACAAAATAGGTGAATTTTTTAAAAATATCAAAAAAATATTTTACATGAAATAAATTGATCAAAATACCCTCGAAATGTTTTTTGGGGTATTTTGGTCAATTTTTTTCACGAATTATTTTTTTAATATTTTTATTAGAGTGATTTGGATTTGTTGAAAAAAAAAATTCAAATTCAATTACTATTAGACATCTGTGTTTGTCAGATCCGCCCAGATTCAATCTGGGCTGTTGGGCTTATACTATTCCATGAGCTAGTAGGCTCACCCAAGCTTTTTCCATATATCTATATATAGGAAAATGATTCTGTAAGCTGGTGGGCTTACAGGTAAAAATATGCCAAACGACCTAGATTGAATATGGGTCGCTCTGACGGTCACAACTTCATTTCGTATTTTAATTTTAATTTTTTTCTATAAATCCAAATAATTTAAAATTTTAGACATGTGTTTTTCAAAAATAGGATATTCTAATAAAAAAAATCAAAAAAATAATTTATATGAAATAAAATGATCAAAATACCTCTGAAAAGATTCGGGGGTATTTTGATCAATTTTGTTTTCCCGAATTATTATTTTGATATTTTTATTTGGTGGGCCTTGATAAGAAGAACACATGCCTAAAATTTTAAGTTATTTGGATTTGTAGAAAAAAAATTAAAATTCAAATACAAAATGAGGTCGCGACCGTCAAATTGACCCATATTCAATTTGGGCAATTGGGCGTATTTTTACCTATAAACCCATTGGCAAAAATGAACAGTGATTTCATCTACTCTCATCACCATTCAAACTTCATCGCACGGTCACAATTTTCTAGTAGTGAGCGTGTATACTTCTTAGTGAGGCGTACCTAATAAAAATATAAAAAAAATAATTCGTAAAATATAAATTAACAAAAATACCTGCGAAAATTTACGGGGGTAGTTTGGTCAATTTATATTTTACGATTTTTTTTTTTTCATATTTTTATTAGGTGATCCCTGAAATGATTTGGGGGTATTTTGGTTAATTTATATGTAAGGACCTGGACTTTTTTGGCATATTGGAAGAAGTCGTTGTGTGTACATGAGGACACCGCCGTGCGTGCAAAGGAGGAAGCCGCCGTGCGTGCAGGAGGAAGCTGTCGTACGCGACACTGCCGTGCACGATGCCACCAAGCACGATGCTGCCGTGAGTGCTGCTGCCGTGCACGACACCGTTGTGTGCGTTGCTGCCGTGGGCGTCGCTGCCAAGGAGGAAGCCGTTGTGCGTGCAAGGAGGAAGCTGTCGTGCGCGACATTGCCGCGTAGGATGCCACAGAGCACGACACCGTCATGAGCGTTGCTGCCAAGAGTGAATGTAAGGGCAGTCCAGGGAACTTCTATGCTTGCTCTTTTATGAGTACCATGTGGCACATGTATGCCACTGTATGCTACTTGTGTGCCCGTTGCATTCCACCTGCTTGCTGCCTCCCCCTCTTTGCTTATAAGTACCCCCCTTTACACCCCTCTCAAGAGTTTTGCTCTCTCTCACCCACGACCTCTCTTTCAAACACTTAGAACCTCAAGCTTGAAACCATTCTTGGAAGCTTGACCTGTGTGGGGGAAAACTTGAAGTCTTTTGTTGCATGTAAGTGGATTAAGCTTCAATGCTTTTATACTTTGTTGGTACATGTTGTCTTAGTTCATAAAAGTATGAAGTTTAGCATGATTGTAGATGTGATTTTGGAAATGAGAATGGGTGTTCAAAGTATGAAGTTTGAGCATAATCATGAAGTTTAATCATGATTATAGATGCAATTTTGAATATGAATGTGGCTGCATGCTATTGAATACTTGTTGGAATATGCTAGTTTTTCCAGAACTGTAACCCCCAATTGTATGATTGTTTGAGTATTGAAAACACCTCTGTTGATTATGAAACTTGGTCGGAAAGTACCTCTTTGAATTTATTTTAAGATGGGAAATACGTCTTGACAATACCTCTTTTGGTTTGAAAGTTATCAGCCATCTTGTAAAGCATGCCCGAATTGTGCCATAAATTTCCAAGAACTTTGCATACTTTTGTGTGGCACTGTTTACTGACTACATGTCTCAGAATGATGTCAAACCACTTCTAAATGAAAGATAAATGAGTCTATTTTCAAAATGGTTTAGGAACCACAACTAAATTCTATGTGGATTGGAAGTTATACCCATTTTTCTCTGAGACTATCACACTAAAATTTTTGTTGTTTTCCAAAACTGTTATGTGTTTCTATATGGAACTGTTTACTAACTAAAATGTCTTAGAATGAGGCCAAACCACTTCTAAAACGAAAGATGAATGAATCTATTTTAAAAATGACTTTGGAACCATGATAAAATTTGTCGTGGATTGGAAGTTATGCCCATTTTTCTATGAGTCTATCATACTGGAATTTCTGCTCTGTTACGAAATAGTGAATGTGCATGGTTGTAATAAGACATGCCTATGAAATATTGAATGTGCATGATTGTAATAAGATATGCCTATGAAATATTGAATGTATATGATTGTAATAAGATATGCTAATGAAATGTAGAATGTTCATGGTTGTAATAAGACATGCCTATGAAATGATGAATGTGCATGATTGTAATAAGACATGCCACCGATGTGATATGAAGTACTATACAATGTGTTATCCATTGGTAGTTTGATATGGTATGATAAGAATTTGATCTGACTCACTACGTAACGGGTCATCTGTTGGTAGTGTAATGTGATACTATATGATAAGAAAGTTGTGCCGGCAGTTGAGAATTTTCCCTGATTCTCGAGGATAGAAAGGGATTTAGGATGTGAGCCATATGGGTGGGTTGTGCCTCCCCAATATATGTATAAGTGGCACTACGCAATGGTCATCCATTGGTGGTGTAACGCCCTCCAGCTAAAGAGCAAATGAGGGTCGTGTCTTGCAAGGATACTGCCCTATCAAAAGCCTCAAAGCGCGATGGGGATTGTGTGTGTGCGCGCGCGTGAAGACATTACAAAATGGGTCATTCATTTGTCATTGTCTTCTCTCCTGAGTAATGGTAGAAGTCCTAAGCAATGAGATTGGCTTGACCTGATTGATAGGGCTTCTACTTCAGGAATAGGTGATATTAAGATTGCCTGCAATTATTATATGTTTGCTTGAATTATTGATCTGTTATTTCGATGGAATGATTTGATAAACTGTTAGCTCATGTGATATTTGATATCTGATTTGCGCTTGCTCCACCATGAAAGAAATTACTCATGACACATTGGCAATAAAAAGAATTGTGATACATGATTCCATGTTGTAAAACCTGCATGAATCTTGGGGACTGTTATGAATAACGCTTTATAGGCAAGAATGCATGGCGCTTTGATCTACTTATTGGGCTTCATAGCTCATTTGACTTTCCTCAATGTAGAGTGATAACTTGCAGAT